CTCTCTCTCTCTCTCTCTCTCTCTCTCTCTCTCTCTCTCTCTCTCTCTCTCTCTCCCATCTCCAGGCAAGGCCCCAGGCTGGTTTGTAGACTGGGTAGAAGTGGATGCTCCATCTCTTGGAAAGTGCATGACCTTTCCCTGTGGCCGCTGGCTGGCCAAGAATGAGGACGACGGGGCCATCGTCAGGGACCTCTTCCACGCTGAGCTTCAGACACGACTCTACACACCATGTAGGAACCCTCATGGCAAGGCTGGCCCTCCTGGGAGACCCCATAACCTGTCCCACCCAGCCCCAGCTCCTTCTCCACAGTTGACTTGGGGCCAAACCCACCTCAGGGATTCTGTTCAATTTTCTTGTCCCTTCCTTAAATGTCCTGAGCTCTGGAGTTGAGGGAGTACTGTGGGCCTAGCCCTAGACACAAAAAAAGATAATGTTGGATTTATTCCAAATTAGACCCCACACTAACTGATGACAAGATATTGTCTAGTCTCTCCGGGACTCAGTTTCCTCATCTACAAAACAGAGATAATGATGCAGGGTGACTAATACTGAACCAGTGGCCGTGAGGAGCCATGATCCACCAAATCTGAATCCTTATCCATTCTATTAAGTCAGAGAAACCCTGCTCTGAGAGTTTCTGCTTATTGTGTATGGGGGGGCAGGATTTGAGGATAAATGTAATTCCTTTCACTGATCAAATCAAAGGGGAAGGTAGGTGAGTGGTCCTCTGTCATGAAAATGTTCACATCCAATAGCATAAGATATTGTACATTTGCTTGAGAACTCCCCTAGGGTTTTAATTTTTCCTCCCTCCCTTCCTTCCTTCCTTCCTTCCTTCCTTCCTTCCTTCCTTCCTCCCTCCCTCCCTCCCTCCCTTCATCCCTCCCTTCATTCGTCCCTTCTTCCCTTCTTCTGTTCTTTGGTGTATATATGTGAGATATAGATATATATCTACATATATATCTACATATATATGTATGTAGATATAAATGTATATATATGTAGATATAAATATATAGACATAGATATATAGTGTGTGTGTGGTGTATTTATTTGATGGTGTAGATGTGTGTACATGTATGTGGCTGCATGTTGAGGTTAGTCATCAATGTTGTGTGTCTTCTTAATTGCTGTGCACCTCTTATTTTTCAAGATAGAGTCTCTCACTAAATCTGAAGCTCACCAATTTGAACTTCAGGGATCCATCCTTCTCTGTCCTAGCTCCCCATGCTGTTATAGGCATGTGGCCCAATGCTTAGCTTTTTATGTGGGTTCTGGGATCTGAATTCATGTCCTCATGCTTGCTCGCATGACAGACATTTTACAGACTCAGCCCTCTCCCCAGCCTGTATTCCTATTCTCTCTCTCTCTCTCTCTCTCTCTCTCTCTCTCTCTCTCTCTCTCT